TCAATAAACTATCCATAATTTAACATCACACACAAATGTTTTGGTTCTTTACATATTATGGTGTATTAGTACGTAATAATAAAATGTGTTAATTAAAATAATGTCATTGAGATTTAATTTTTTAATATATCTGGCTGCTCCAGTTAGTGGCGGAAAATATGGTAATTGACATACATTGTTCTACTAATCAGAAGGTGTGTTGTTTAATGCCAACATATTATTTTATAAATATGCGTACTTGTATTATAAAATATTATAAAAATGATATAAATAAAAATATGAGATTTGATAGTTAAATTAATATGCACCCCTGTTCAATGAGCCAGAGCCGGTCCTGAGTTTTACAAGGCCCTGAGCGAAATGTGATAAATGTTACCTTTGGTTATTTTTATTTTTTTAAGTTAATAAAACAAAAAATAATAATGTAACTCGCGGTAAAATTTAAAATAAAAATATAGCTAAATTATTAAATAAAATTTGAGAAATTTCTTAAGAATCAAAACTGAAAAGAAAAGAGGAGATCATTTTCATTTAAAGAAAAATATAAACATTATAATTATGTAGATTTTTTTAATCAAAAGCATTAATTTTTATTTTATATTTAACAAAGTTAAATAACAAATCTAAATTGAAACTCGTCTAAAAATGAGTTGACTTCACCTAACTCTTTTATTGAGTATAACTAACATAATTGTATTGTGCAATCATAAAATAACATTTTCTATATTCAAGCAAGAGGAGAAAAAACATTGAAAGAAAAAGAGAAAATATGTAAAAAAGTTTTTTATTTCACTAATAGTAACTACTATTTAAATTTATAAGGTTGATAAAATATGAAAAGCCTTGTATATAGAATAAAAAAATTAAGATTTAAGATTATTTTGTACTAAATATTTTATTATATAATTAATTTATCAATACATATATTAAAAAATACATAAAAGTGGGCCCTAAAGTAAACGGGGGCCCGAGGCGGTCGCTCGGCCCGCCCTATCTTGGGGCCGGCCCTGCAATGAGCATGAAGGATCAACGAAATGGATTAATATATCATATTATTTAATAGAAACATAAATTGTTCTATAAAATAAATAATATATAGTTATACTATAAAATATTAAATTCAGTGCTTTTAATATTATGAAATTATACATAACCATTGAAATAAAACTTTCTGAGAATTAATTAACCCTAAAAGCAACACTAGTTATCATAAGTCAGTAGAATGTTGTTAGGCAAATCTAATACTTAAACAATTATACTATTTTCATCATATATGTATATTTTTAAACTTACATGTCATACTATAAAAATCTACAAATAAAAATATAACATTTCACAACATAAGCACGTTTTTATATTAAGAAAAGGTATATATCGAGTTGATTTGCCTAATAGTCACGCTCACTAAAAAATTTATCAATGTAAAATGCAAATATATTTGAAAAAAAAAAAAAAATTGTATCAAGCATAAAACCAAAAAACGAATAGATGCGTCATTATTAATGTTTCACGAGCCTTGACCTTTAAATTAATTTAATGGGCACTTCATCAAGAAGATACCAATTAGTTTGATATGCTTTATATAAGATTTGTCTCTTTCGTAGAACTTAGAAGCAAATAGGCATGCTTTATGAAAGGTCAAAAAGTTCAAATTGAATGGTGACTTGGGAAAATTTTCAATAATATATTATATATGTTCTTGCATATTGTATTTTATTTTCAATTTTATAAAGTCCTTTCACAGTCGAGCATTTTTTTCTCAGTATAAACTATAAAGAGAATATGTTTAGGGACAGGGACAACTGGTAAATAATTTATAAATAATAGCCATTCTTAACTTTTTTTTATTATATATTATTTATGCTATTATAATTAAATTGTAAATTGTGAACCTCCCAATTTTTGGAACTTTTTTTTATGTCGATACGTTAAAAAATTAAAATAGAGAACTGTAACTGAAAACTGTTCTACTTCTCAATTCGGTTCAAATTAACTGGAAATGTCTACTTTATTTATTATATCATTCAAAGCTTTGCACAATAATTTATAACCACTACAATGTCAGTATACCGTACGAATGTGCTTAACTGATCAAGAAATATGTACATAAATAAATATGTTTTAAGAAAAACAAATAACTAGAGGTGTATTCAATTAGAATTTCTAAGGACTTTTTGAAATTTTAAAAATCCTGGTGCATTCAATTTAAATTTGTTAAGACTTTTAAAAATCATGGGTATTTAATTGGGATTTTAAAAAGTCTTATACAATCATGACGTATTTAATTTATTTCACACTAGGATTTGTTAAGACTTTTTAAGATTTGATGAGATTTTTAAACAAAAAACCTTATATGAAATTCTACTTCAAATCCCATCTCCAGACTTAGGATTTCGTGGAATTTTTTCAAAATTTGAAAATCTTAACAAATCTAAAATCTTAAAAAGTCTCAAAATGTCACTTGAAATCCATTGCATTATCAATTTTATTTATAATGAATGAGATTTTGGTGCGAACGTCGATTGCCAATTAGCAATTGGTTATAAAAGAATAATTTTGTCTGCCAAAATAAATTTTCACAATCTTTTAACTTAAAGTTAAACTTAATTTTAATTCAATTCAACTCTAGTTATTAGTATCAATACAATTAAATAACATTAATTAATTATTGTCACACATAATATTAACTTTAATTTATTATTTACTTATATAATTTTAACTATATAGAATTATCAATAAATTCTCTCATACTTTTATATCCATCATATCAACTTTAATCATTACATCATAAATATTATTTAAATACAAACTCAAAATACTCAAGTCGCAACACAATCATTTTTTTTTAAACAACTCACCTAAGCCGATAAATCCGATTTAAAAAAAACAAAAAACTTATTTTCAATCCGCGATTGGAAGTAAACTATTTTAGATTTAATTTGATTTGTTGGATAAAATAAGTTAATTTTGAAAAA